GCCAGGCCTTCGTTCCCTAGCCTTCCCGCCTGGCCGCTGATCTTTGGCCTCTCTGCGGAACCACGCAAACACCACTCCTGGCTGACTCGGGGCCACCTGCCGCTACCCTGTTACACACCGTGACTCCGACCCCCACAGCAGCCCCTCATTGTGTCCGGGGCTCCGAATATCGCAAATCGCGGGCCCGGCCCCGTTATTGGAAAATGGGCTCCAAGGGCTCAGAGGGACATGGAGCCGGCTGGCTGTGTGTGAAGGCCCTATATAATAGAAACAGACAACCCTTGTAAGAGCGCCCTCATAGAAGCCTTGACTGACATTTCAGGTCACGGCTCTAGGGGTGGGTGGCCGGGCCCCGAGTTCAATCGGTCCACTGATCGTTGGTCCCGAGGGCTTCTTCGGTCCCTCCTCGGACCTCGTCAAACAAAGCCCGTGACCAACTCGGGGCCACTAGTCGACACAGGACTCCCTGTTAGGCATTGTGGGCCCCCAACCGCCATAGAGGTTCCATTATTTCGGGGACCCAGACCAATGCAAGTCGTGGCATTGGTCTGGGTCCACGGGTCCTATCCTCACCCCTCTTGAGAAATGGACCCTTTTCAGACTGCAGGGAACCAACTGTTCGATGTTCGTGGTCTCTGGCCGACTGGGACACATGCATTGTCTCAGGGGGTCGTCAAACGGTGCAAAAGGACCTCTGACTGGCATTTCACGCCGACATATGTTCATATCAATTCAGGGGTCCCCGATCGGCGCAAAAAGCGTTCTGCCATTTGAGGGCCCGTCTCCGCAGGTCGGAGCCCCTGAATAAGACTTCGACCAGCCCTTCGTCCCGTTCAGCTCTCCAATCGGGCCCTTGACCGCCAGTCCCGGTGGGCCCCCTAGGCTCTTCGGGCCTTCTCAAACACTACCTCCGGTCGGCTCACGGCTCTTGCCAACACCAGGCCCTCTGCTGTCAGATCGCTGTGAGATCCAGACAGACGCTGCGCTTCGACCTATGTAAATCGCTAGCCTCTGCTTTGCCCCTGCTCGGGTAATGATACATCAGGCCCCTGCCGACCGTACGTTGTTGGTGGTGTCTGACAGGCATATAGGCCCTTATCGACCCAGGGCGCCTGATTAGCACGGCAGAGCCCTCTCGTTTGAGTAGGAGTACCCAGCCCTGCGGGCCGGGTCCCTGAATACGACCACCGGTCAGCCTCTCGGGTCATTCGAGCCCTTAATCATAGGTCTCGGGGAGCCATTTGAGCCACCCAGAACCTAAGTGGGGGAGGGGGCACGTGCCCCCTGCTTGCGTTACTGATACACTCACACACAAACGTCCGTAATGCATGGACAGCTCTCATATATCCGTTGGATTCGTTTTTTGTGCCATTTCAGTCACTTCAGCTTTCGATGTGGCACAAGGAGGCCTGTCACTAAGTGCAGCACACCTGAACACATCCTTTAGTAGTTTTGTTGCTGAAATATTGTGCTAGTTGACGAACTTCCTTCACCATCGCGAGGCCCTCCAAATACTCCATCATGCTGAACTCACACCCACTGAGACGTCCAGCAGCTGGCGTCGGTGGCGCGCCGGGAATACCACACCTACATCCACACCGATACTCAAGAATCGTAACTGTTCCGTTCGGGCACACTCCTCACGCAGCTGTGACCACCCAGCAATCCGGCCGACTGCAATGTCGACAAACTGACCGGGCCCAAACTGCAGGATAAACAGGAGTCGTGGAAAACGGTGACTCAGTGTCGCACGTCCCCTAGGAGTTGCACGCCGAACCAAAGCTTCAAGCGGCCGGCGTGACACGAATGTTCTCAGAGTGTAAAGATGTTTTGCATGTAATGCGCCTTACAGATTCCTTCCATTACGAAAAGGACAAAACTGTTACAAACAAGCCTTCATTCTGTCAATTTATCCGGCTTTCGTGTCCTGTTCGAACACTACAAATCCGTGAGACTACTTGAATGGCGCCATTGTTAAAATGTGCAGCCAGTCAACTGGCTAGCAGCGGCCACACCCACCTGGGCGGTGCCTGTATTGTGGCCGCAACATGATACAGAGATGGGAGCGGATGCGCAGTGTGTGGCATTGATGATTGTGAATGTGACATGTAAATCACAGCCAATTATTTTGCGCTAACATGACTTGTGGAACTTGACGCAGCTCTAAATAGGGTGACCATTCATCACTTGGCACAGGAAGCAGAGCAACCAACTGGCCAGAATTGTCCTGATCACATCGGTGCCATCGCCTTGCAGCATGACTCGGTGTGGGTTCGCTGGGCGGCACCCAGCATGTCAACTCCGGAGGTGGGTGTGCCCACAGAGCGGGTCACGGATCGGACCAAGCCGAGATCACACACACGGACACAGACACAGGCACAGGGACACGGGGCCAGGCACGCGAGGGCGGCGACAGCTGGCCGCCGACGCCACAGCCGTCCTCTGCGGCGAGCACCGACCAGTCCGCTTGTGGACACACTGCGCTGGCTTTGGCGCTCTGAAACATGGGCCGCAGCAGTCACACACCACGAGCGGAGCCGGGCGCGCGGCGGGGCGGCGCTCGCTGTCGGGCGCCGCCGCTGGTCCCACCGGCGCCGGCGGCGGCCCTCAGCTCAGGCTTCTGCCACGCGACGCCAGTCGGCCGTCGGCAGCGGCCGCGAGGTGCGCTAGAACCCAGCGTCTGGCGATGCCCCGGCGGGGTCGGCCCGGCGCCCTGCACTCCCGCAGCGCGGAGATCGTCCCACACGGCCCAACTGAACGACGCTTTGGTGCGAGCCATTCACGGTAACTTGCTTTCCATGCTCATTCACAACCTTGACTCCTTAGATTCTGTCTGTCTGTCTGTCTGTCTGTCTGTTTGTCCGTCCGTCCGTCCGTCCGTCCGTCCGTGTCTGTGTCTGTGTCTGTGTCTGTGTCTGTGTCTGTGTCTGTGTCTGAGTCTGTGTATGCCTCTGTCTCTCTCTCCCTCTCTCTCCGTATATATATATATATATATATATATATATATATATATATATATATATATATATAAGGGACGTGAGGCTATAGGAGGCCAGGCCATGAAGCCACCGTGGCAGTACAGAAGCATAGCCAGGATAAAGCTGCCGTAACAATAATTCTCCTCGGAACAAACGTTTTTTGTCTTGTCGAGCCCACCCAAAGCTCCTGTGCACACGAAATAATTCATAAATCATGAAACTGAATGAGTCATTGCCAAATACTTCAATACCATTCAAAACCGCGAGGTTACTACCATGGAGCGGTATCAACAACGCATCTTTCGCCCCGGATTCCAATATTTTCAATCGCGGCCTCACACATACGATTCGTCGGCAACTGCACCGGGGTCCTGCGCGCCGCACACATTAGTGGCGCGGTCCAGGCCCATTAGACCTCCCCCAGGTCGTCGTAGTCTGGATGCAACGCAAGACACTGCCTGCTACCATACTACAGCCGACGAGCCACCGACTTTGCAGTCTCCGGGAAGTCCGTCGAGTTTTACTTAAGCGCAGATGTCGAGAAACTTGAGCGGGTTTTTCGTTGCTGAATACAACCATCGTTTCATGACTGGTACGCACAACGTGTCCAAAGCAGCGATACGCTGAAAGCTTAACCCACCCACATAATTCCATATCCGTCACCCGTGTGAGCTGTTACTCATACTTCCGTATCTGTCACTCGTGTAAGCTGTCACCTTCCGTATTCATCACCCGTGTAAGCTGTAACACCACATCCAATCGTTTGCCTTTGTGGAGCTAATGGCGGCACACTCCCCTCCATAAACACGTGGCAAGCGGGCACCAGTATAGAGGACGGCGGATTATAACGAACGAAGCACGTTTTAAACCAAAAGCAATGACTTCAGCTCGGACTTGTCGAGACGACATTCGAAAGTATTCATATCGCAAGTCTCGCTCAGCAGTTGGAAGATCATTCTGCTTTTGAGGCACGCATGTGGAGATTGAGTCATGCGACCAGTACATATCCAGCACACCTTGGTATTCATGCGCCGTGGTACATCTCATCACACACAAGGCCTGTCTGATTTATGGCGCTCTGCGGTGTGACGAGCGCAGAGTCGCTTGACGCCCATGCATGAGCAGGACAAGATCTGTCCTTAACCATCCGTCTGCAGCTCAAGTTTAGGTTGAAACAGCGGGTGTTTGTCGCGGCCATTGTACCGAGATAGCCTTCGAATGCAAGCTCGGCTGTGCGTAGAGTGACGGCCCGTCCGTGTAGCTGTGCCCCAGCAGACCGAGAGTAGCCAGAGGCCGTGTGCCCGTGTGTGCGCGGCGCTGCCCGCGGCCGGGCGCCACCCGGCCCAGCGGCCCCGTGCGGACCCGTCTGCGTACCTGGCTGAGCTGGGCCGCCCGCTGCACGTGTGACGAAGCTCAGTCCGGACGGCCAACACAACAGCCGCGCAGTAAACAACCAACAACGCGCCGCACGGACACAACACGGCCGTGCCCTGCCGGCTGGAAAGTCAGGGCACAGTCAGCTCACTGCTCTCTCAGTGTCGGCATCATCACCACCAGGGGCTCACACCAAGACTTTATTCTAGACGCCGGCTATCATATACGGATACATGCGCGCACGCAGCCCAGCCGCTGGGGGCGGGCCGACTGGCCAATCAGAGGTCGTCCTGTGCGGCACGTCACACACGAGCGGGAGTGCGATTGGCTGGAGCCACCGCGCGGCTGGCACCGTGCGGCCCGACTCCCGCCCATGCGTATTTACACCGATCCGGGGGAGGGGTCCGAGAACACCACGAGTGTGGCGCGGCCGACCAGCACGCCAAGCCAGCTCGGGCCGCCAGCATGAAATTGAGCCAACGTTCACCAGTTACATGGATGCGGCGCCGGCGCATCAGGCGCCTGGTCAGCGCGCGGGGAGGGGGAGGGGGCGGGAGTGGGCGGGCGGGGGTCGGGGCCAGGGGGGGGGGGGGGGACAGCGACCGTTGGCGACGTCTACCGTGTGGGCGGCGGAGGCGGGGCCGTGCCTCAGCCGACCGTGGGCGCCACCAGGGCCGGCAGCGGTGCTGCCAGCGGGTCGGCCGCCAGCGCAGGCCCGTCGGCGTCTGCCGGGACAGAGCAGCGGTCAGGGGGGCGCCCGCAGCCTCCGGTCACGTACGCTCACAGGTACACAGCGCTGGGACAAGCCGCGGCACACACGCCGCCTTAGGTCACTGTCACTTGGCTGTCACTACTGCCGGCACCGCGGCAGGCGGCTGGAGCCGAAATGGACAGATATCCATCTGAGTGTAAGCAACGCACACGTGCCGACAGAATTACAGGTGATGATGTACACTTGTATTGTCTTTCAGCCCGATCTCATCACGTGACGCCACACGACTCCAGTCGGACGAACGCCAGGGATCCATCGACCATCTCCGACAGAGGGGATGCCATCGACCCTCTGCCGCACCGAGCCGGCGGGCCGGCTGCCTCTCACCGATGGGCTGCATGTACAGCAGCAGCAGGCCGGCCGGGCCCAGGTAGTAGTACGGGTCGGGCGGCGGGCTGCCCGGCGGCGGCGGCGGTGGTGGCGCCTCCTCTGCACCCTCATCCTCGTCCTCGAGCAACGGACGGATGACCTTGATCTGCCAGACGGGGGCGAGGGGTGGGAGGAATCAGCCAGGGTTTCCTAGCGCATGCTATATAGCGCTGTTGCGGCGCACATCACATTCGAGCAATAGCCTCTAATACAAGCTGAAATTCAGGTGCACTTCTATCCAATTCGCAATAACAGCGCGCGGCACCATTTCCTGCATGAACACGCTTGACGATATGACCGGCTCCCTTCTCGCCCTCGGAGACAGCGGCACGGGACAACAGATCCGCGTGTCGAGCCGCCATCGCCGCTCCCTTCACCAGCCGCCCGCGCGGCGCGCTGACGTACGTCACACGGCGACCCTCCTCACCTTGATGTCGGGCCATCGGCCGCCGCGGCCGCGCCGGCTGGGCGGCGACGGCGGCGGCGAGGGCGGCGGCGACGCCTCGTCCTCCGACGGCGAGCCCTCGCCCGGCCCGTACCCGTCCGCGAAGCCCACCCGCTTCTCCAGCCGGTCCTTGCTGCCGGACGGAGACGCCGTCGGTCAGCGTCGTCGGGGCACACAGGCGATGGGGACCACCAGAGATCTGACCGAACAGCAGCTGGCTACCACCGGCGCCGTCGGCACGTCCGCCGACCAGTGTGGAATTCACCAGGCTTGAGCTATTGGGAGTCGCGGTGGGAGTGGAACGTGGCTGACAGGGGGCAAATCTAACTCAACTCAACAAGCATGCGGTTTGATCAAAATAACGGTGGGCTACGCATTCGTTAAGCGCCGGTCCGACAGCCGTCTGGGCCACTGGACGGGAGCCACCCGTGGCGCCACTGGTCGCCCACCTGAAGCCGTCGATGACGAGGATGCTGCGCTCGGCCGGCGGCAGCGGCACGGGCGAGCGCGGCCGCTGCTGCTCCTCCTCCTCCTCGTCCTCCTCGGCGTCCGGGTCGGAGCCGGCGAACTCGGCCTCCTCCACATCAGGCACCTCGGACATGGCCTCCTGCCGGTGGAGGCCACGGTCAGCCGCCGCCCGCCGCCAGTGCCGTCGACCAGTGTACATTCTAACACGATGGCGGGGTGGGCCAAAAGAGGCGAACGCCCAACGAATTCCCACCGGCCGGCCGACGAGTGACGGCAAAGCGTCGCGAATACGATGGCTGCCCATCCGAGCCCCGGTAGCGGCTGGAACACCGTGGGATACATGGAACACCATGGAACACCATGGGTGGGGACGGCATGCGTGACGGCCATCACCGAGAGCTCCCAGACAGGGGTGGCCGGCTCGCCAATCAACGGCGCGCGGGCTCCGCCCACCACGGCCGCTGAACGGAGCCAGGCATACAGACTGAGCCGAGCACACAGACTTTGAGACAAGATACCGGCGACCAGCCTGGACCGGACGAGCCGTCTGGCCGCCGCCGCCGTGGCGCCTCACCTTGAGCAGCGCCTTCTCCTCGTCGTCGATGTCTGGCAGAGACGGGTCTCCGCCGGCAATGGTGGCCTCCAAATCATTGTCCAGCTTCTTCTTCTGATGAACATAATCGAGAAACGAAATCAGTAAACGGACACGAGAAACAAGGCAGCACCAGCAAACGCTCAAAGCACGGACCTATCGGCAGAAAAATGGAAGAGAGAAACAAAGAAAAAGCAGCGTAAACTCATGTTATTACATAACATAAACTAGTGAACAAAACATCAGACGTCTCTTGTGCTCCTGACAAAAACCTGTCAACGTCCGTGACAGGTGACTGTCCACTGGCTGCCATCAGCAGGACCAGGCTGAACGGCAGCGGCGCTCATCAGCCCTTCACCTACCTGTCGCTTGGAGAGCTTGCCCGCCTTACGGCCGATCTCCTCTTCCGTCTCCGCCTTCTCTCGCTTGCGCTTCTTCTTCTTCTCCTTGCGGCGGCGCCGGACGGCCGGCTGATAGAGCGGGAAGTACCAGTTAGGCGGCGCCGTCGGCGGCGGCGCGGCGGCGGCGGCCACCTCCTGCGAGAGCCGCGTCAGCGTCTCGGTGATGTGCTGCGCTGTGGCCGTGGGCGCCGGCGCGGCGGTCGGCGCCGCGGCTGCCGGCGGCAGCGGCGGCGGCGGCTGGTCGAACTCCGCCGGGGCGTCTGGCGGCGGCAGCACTTGCAGCATGTTGCCCACCTGCACAAAGCGCGAGCGCTGCACGGGCGGCGGCGGCTGCGAGAAGGGCGGCGCGGCCGGCGGCGGCCGGCACAGCTGCTGCGGCGTCGGCAGCGCCATCTGCGGCGCCAGGCCGTGCTCGAGCGCCAGCCGCTCGTCCAGGGACTGCCGCGCCGGCGCCGCCATCGCCACCGCCGAGCGCTGATTCAGCGCCACGTTCCACAGGTCGTCGTTGAGTCGCTCGTCGGTCAGCTCCGAGTCACTGATGGTCGAGTCGGCCAGGCTGCGTTGCAGGCTGAAGTCCTTGGACGGCGGCGGGTCGTCGGTGATGGTCACCTGGCGCAGGTTGGACGACGGCAGCGGGATGTGCTGCGGCAGCGGCAGCGGCGGCGGCGGCAGCGGCTCGACCGCCGGGCACACCGGGTAGGACGACGGCAGCCGGCTCCAGTCCGGGCCGCCGCCCTGCGTCGAGTGCGGCGCCGTGCGCACCGGACTGGACGAGCCGGGCCGCAGCACCGGACTGAGCCGCGCGCGCCGGCCCGGACTGCGCGATCTCCTGCTCGGGCTGCTGCGGCCGCGCGCGCGCGGACTGCGCGACCTCCGGCCGGGACTGCCGCGGGAGCGCGCGCGCGGACTGCGCGACCGCCGCGGCGGGCTGCGCCGCGCGTGAGATTTGGGGCTTCTGGAGCGTCGGGCTGGGCTGCCGCGTCCGCGGGATCTGGGACTGGCCCCGTGCCGCGACCGGGCCGTGGGCGACCTGCGGCCGGGGCTGGCGCGTGCGCGGCTCCGGGGACTGCGCGAGCGCCGGCCCGGGCTAGCTCGAGAGCGTGACTTGGGGCTCCTCGAACGCCTCGATGTGCCGCTGCGAGAGCGAGATTTGGGGCTCCTGGAGCGTCGTGACGTGCCGCTCCGCGAGCGAGACTTCGGGCTCCGGGACCGGCGGCCGGGGCTGCTGCGAGATCGCGACCTCGGACTGTTCGATCGCCGCCTCGGACTGTTGCGAGAGCGAGACTTGGGGCTCCGAGACCTGCCGCCGGGGCTGTGACGAGATCGCGCCTTAGGGCTCCGGGACCTGCCGCCGGGGCTGTGCCGGGACCGTGACTTTGGGCTGCGAGATCTGCCGCCGGGGCTGCTTTGGGCTCGAGATTTCGGGCTGCGAGACCTTCTGGTAGGACTGCTCCGCGAACGAGACTTGGGGCTCTGTGGCCGTTTCTCATGGCTCTCCAGAGACTGGGATTTGGGGCTTCCAGACCTTCCTCTATTGCTTTTGGAACGTGGTTTAGGACTTTTGGAACGTGATTCGGGGCTTTTGGACCGTGACGTAGGACTTTGGGACCGCAATTTGGGGCTTTTGGGCCGTGACTCAGGGCTTTTGGGCCGTGATTCGGGGCTTTTGGACCGCGCTCTGGGACTCTCAGACCGCCTGTCCGGACTCTGAAATTGCCTCGCAGGACTCTCGAGCGCCAGCTCCTTGGGGCTAGCCTGTCTGAGCTGGGGAATGGCAGGAGACTGGAGCTCAGACCGGGGGGAATGCTGAACCATCTGTTCCTCGCTCTCGCTGTCGGTCGACGGCAGGCTCTCCTCTGGAGGGCTAGCAGCGCGCGGCGGACTCTCCGTCGCCCACTGGCTGGCGGGCCGGGCGGCGGTCGGCGACGGCGACGGCGACGGCGGCGGTAGCGGGCTGGGCGGCCGGGTCGGGGAGACGAGCGCGACCGGCTCGGATGGTCCCGCCTCCTCCCGGCCGTCACTCTGACCATGCCCCACCCACGCCTCCTCCGCCTGGTGTGGGGGAGGACTCGCCTCAGGCGCCCGTGCCCCCTCCACGTGCGGCGGCTGCTCAGGCGACGGCGGCCGTTCCACGGCCGGTGGTCCCGGCGGCGCGCCCTCGTCACTGTCGGCCGGCGACCAGCGCGGTGCCGCGCGCACCGCCTCCTCCGGCTCGGCGAACGCACCCAGCGCCACCGGCCGCAGCGTGCGTTTCGGGCGCCAGCTTGATACCGAGCCCGATCGGCTTGGGCGGCGGCGGCGCGCGCACCGCAATGTCCGAGACCTGCGGCAGCTCGCGCGGCAGGCGCGTCATGGCGGCCGGTGGCGGCGCCGGCGGCAGCGCTGGCGGCGGCAGTGGGATCTCATGCGGCACGGGCAGCTCCAGCGGCAGTGGCAGCGACGGTGAGTCGCCGGCGGCCGGCGGCTCCGGCTCATGCCGGCCGGAAGAGGGCGGCAGAGGCGGGACGGCGTCAGCAGCCCAGGCGGCCGCCACAGCCGCCGGGCTGTCGGGACGCGCCGCCGCCTGGACCGGGGCGCTGGTCTGGCGGGGCGATGGGCTTCGATGACGGCGCGACGGGCTGGGCTTGCGACGCGGCGAGCTGCGAGAGCTGTATTCCCGACGTGACGGGCTGGATCTACGCCGTCGTGGACTGGATGGGCTGGACTTGCGACGGGCAGGGCTGGACTTACGTCCTGATGGGCTGAACGTCCGGCGAGGTGGGCTGGACGTGCTACCTCGACATGATGAGCTGGACTTGCGACGAGATGGGCTGCGCGGGCTTAACTCGCGACGAGGACGCGATGGGCTGGACTTGCTCCGTGAGGGGCTCGACTTTCTGCGCGATGGGCTGCCCCTGAGGTGTGAAGGGCTGGACCTCCGACGAGACGGGCTGCGGGAGCTCGACCTGCGGCGTGTCGGGCTTGATTTGCGCCGTGACGCGCTCGGCGGGCTCCGTTCGTGGCGTGACGGACTGGCCCGCCGACGCGGCGGGGAGCCTTTGCGAGGCGGCGATGCACTCGACGCGCTGGGCTGCCGACCTGACGGGGTGGATTCCTGACGCGGCAGGGTGAACTCCTGACGCGGCGGGGTGGGCTCCTGACGTGGCAGGGTGAGCTCCTGACGCGGCAGGGTGGACTCCTGACGTGGCGGAGTGGGTTCCCGACAGGGCGGTGTGAGCGGCCGGGGCGACTCCTCCCGTGCCGGCGCAGGGCTCATCTGCGGCGAGGTGGGCGAGCCGGGGTCGTAGAGCGAGCTGGGGGAGCTCGGGTCGTACGGCGACGAACCGCCGCGCAGCACGGGCACGGCCAAGGGCGCGGGTGCGGCCGCCGGCTCCGGGAAGTCGGTAAAGCGGCGGCGAGCGCGCGGTGCACTCTGCGGCGAGTCGCGCGCGGCCGTGGCCTCCTCCTCCGCCTCCCAGACGGCCGTCGGCGAGTAGCGCTGCTCCGACACCAGAGGCGCCGGCGCGTCCGCGTTCCGGGCGCTGGCCGGCGCAGGGGATGGGCAGCGCGCGGGCGCGCAGTCCTCCTCGTCGCTGGCCAGGCGGCGGCGACGGCGTCGCCTCGTACTGCAGCGCCGCCCGCGGACTGTAGAGCTCGGGTGACGGCGAGCGGCCGCGAGCGACCGCGAGCTCCGGCGAGCCGGACCCTCCCGACAGCAGACCGCTTGGCGCCATACGAACCTCTGCCGCCAGCAGGCCACTGGGCTCCATCACACTGCTCGCCGCCAGCAGACCACTGGGCTCCATCTGACCACCACTCGCTAGCAGGCCACTGGGCTCCATCTGACCACCACTCGCCAACAGACCACTGGGCTTCATCTGACCACCACTCGCCAACAGACCGCTGGGCTCCATCTGACCACCACTCGCCAGCAGACCGCTGGGCTCCATCTGACCACCACTCGCCAGCAGACCGCTGGGCTCCATCTGATCATCGCTCACCACAAGGCCGCTCCGCTCTACCTCGCTATCGGTCTGGTCGCTGGCACTGTCAGTCGAGTCGCTGGTGCTAGCGCTCGCGCTCTCGGCTGAATCGCTCGGACTGTCCCGCCGGCGCCGCTTGTGTGACGAGCGCCGCTCGGACGGGCGGCCGTCGCGCGAGGGCCGCCGCCGCCGCCGCTCCGAGTCACCGTCGTCGCCGCCCTCGCGGCGCGAGCGCTTCTTGGAGCCGCTGCCGCCCGCACCGGCGCCGTCGTCCGAGTCCGAGTCGTCGCTGGTGTCGGATGGGTCGCGCTGGCGCGAGCGGCCCTTCTTTTTCTTCTTCTTCTTGGACTTTTTCTTCTTCTTCGGCGACTCGTCCTCGCTGCTGGACTCCGAGGAGGTGTCGGCGGCCTTCTTCTTCTTCTTTTTGGAGTGGCGCTTCTTCTTTTTAGGCTTGTCCACCGATTCGTCCGAGTCCGAGTCACTTTCTGAGGCAGCCTTCTTGTGTTTCTTCTTTTTCTTTTTCTTCTCCACCCTGTCCTCATCAGAATCATCGTCACGACGCCTATCCTTGTTTTTCTTGCTCTTTTTAGACCTCTTGGACTTCTCTTCAGCTACCGAATCATCTGTATCGTCGTCTGCGGACGTGTCCTCCTTGTTTGCGGACCTACGTTTGTGCTTCTTTTTACTATCTTTGCGATCACCGCCTTTTTCCTTTGCGTATTCAGCCCGATCTTCTGACCTATCTCTCCTGCTACGCTTCGCAGCCGGAGACTCTTTCTCAGCGCCGCCTCGGACATCCTCCTTCGCCCTGCCTTTCCTGCTCCGGTCTCCCTCACCGTCTATTTTGTCGCCTGTGTCCCGTCGATTGTCGTCAACCTCTCTTCTGTCTCGGCCAGAACGATCAAAACTTTCACTTCGTTTTCGACTGACCTCTTTCTCCTCCTTTCTCTGCTTCCATGTTCGGTTGTCCACCTCTTCTACACTTTCCCTCATCTTGCGACTGGGTTTTTCGCCACCTTTTTTGCCTGCAACTTCTCCATCTTCCGTTTCCTTCCTCTTGCGGCTCATCCCTTCATCGTCACTTCCTCCCCTCTTACGGCCATCGCGCTCTACACTATCTTTCCTCCTTCTGACCGCCACATCATCGCCACTTTCGTCTCGCTTACTCTTATCCTCTTCCCCACTTTCTCTGCTCTTTCGATCGGCAGCTTCGAAGCCACTTTCTCTATCTTTGCGGCTGTTCTCCGCCACACCACCTCCACTCTCCCTCCTCTCGCGGTGACCAACTTCCCCGCTTATTTTCATCTTTCTGTCGGCCGCTTCACCGCCACTCTCCTTCTCCACACTTCGTTTCCCCTTGCTACGGTTCGACTCCTCCACACCTTCCCTCCCCTTACTAAGGCTCACCTCCTCCATACTTTCTCTCCCCTTGCTACGGCTAGCCTCCTCCACACTTCCTCTCCTCTGCCCGCTCAACTTACGATCACGATCTTGTTCCTGCCTTCGGATCATCTCGTCAACACTGTCTTTCCGCTTTCGACTCACTTCCTCGCCGACGCTGTCCTTCCTCTTTCGACCCTTTTCCTCGTCATCGCCCTTCCGCACGCCCTGCTCCACCTCCGAGCCGTTGACAGAGTCCCTCTTCTGTTGGGTGGCCTCCTCCTGGGGAGGCCGCTCATCGACGACCGGCGGGGACTCCGCCACCTCCTCCTCCTCCTCATGTGCCGAGCCCGGCTCGGCTCCGCCGGCCGTGTCCGCCTCCGCCAACTGCGGCTCCTCCCGCGTCGACGACACCTCCATTGGCTCGGAGCTGGTCGGCTCCTGGCTGGCCCCCGTCGCCTCCTGCACGGCCGCCAGCTCTGCGGCCGCCTGTCGGCCATTCTGACGCGGCCCGGCCGTCGCCTCTGCGTCCGAGTCCCACTTAGAGCGCGCCTTCTCGTCGTGCTCAGGCGGCGCGACCTCGTCCACCTCTGGGTCGCGAGAGTACCACGGCCGCTCGCGCAGCGGCTCGGCCGGGCCGGCCGGCGTGCTCGGCTCCGACCTCGACCACCAGGCCGCCAGCTCGGCGCGCCGTGTCTCGTCCACCTCCGCCAGCACGCGCTTGCGCGATTTGGTGCGCGAGAACACGCGCAGGCTCTCGCCGTACGTCACGTGAGGCCGCGTCTTGGTGGTCTTGACCGTCTCACGCGGGTACTCAAGCGCGCGAGTGCGGCCCACCACGCTGACGTACACGATCATGCGGTGGTCGTACTCGGGCCGCAGCAGCGGCGGCTCCTCCTCGGGCGACGAGTCGCGGCCGGCCGAGCCCGAGCCGGAGGAGCGTGAGCGGCGCCGCCGCCGCCGGCGCCGATACTGCTCACGGTCGTCCCTGTCGCGCCGCTTGCGCCGGATCAGCTCTGTGCGGATGTTGCGGATGTCGTCCGGCTCGTAGCCGCCGTCCTTGTACTCGCGCCAGTCGATCGGCAGCGTGTCGGGCCGGCGCCGCTTCACCGGCTCGGGGCTGCGGCTGCGGCTGCGGCTGCGGCTGCGGCTGCGGCTGCGGCTGCGGCTGCGCCGGCGCCGGCCGCCAGACCGGGATGCGCTGCGGCTGCGGCGCCGCTCCTCGGTCGGCTCGGCGGCGGCGGTTGTGGTGGCGACGGCGGAGGCGGCGGCAGCGGCGGCAGCGGAGGCAGCGGCGGCGGCGGCGGCGGCGACGACCGGCGGCGGGGCGGCCGCCTCGCCCGCGGCCGGCGTCAGCGCTGGCTCCTCGGCTGCCGCGGCCACGGCCGCCGCCTCCACGGCGGCCTCGATGCTCGCCTTCTCCTCGGCCACCTGCGCGTCGCGGTTCTTGGCCGCCGCCATCGACGCCATCGAAGCCATGATGCTGGTGGCATTGCCGATGATGATGGCCGAGCTGGGCAAGTGGCCAAGGTTGAGCGTCTCGCGCAGCTCCTCCTCTTCGCGCTTGATCTGCTCAATCAGCAGCGGGCTCCGCTCGCGCTTCTTGCGCCGCTTCTCCTCCTCCTCGGCGGTGGCGGCAGCCGTCTTCACCGGCTTGGGCGGCACCGGCGGCTTCTTGATGGCGCCCTGGCGTGCCGCCGAGAAGGCCAGTAGTCGCTTCTTGGCCTGCTCCTTGCCCAGCACGGGCGGCAGCCGCTTCAGCACACTGGGTGCGATCTGCGACACGGATGTGGGCACGACGACAGGCTCCGGCGCCGGCGCCGGCGGCTGGGCGGCTGCCGGTGCGCGGGCCGCCTCTTCGTCCACACCACTGTCACTGTCGTACATGGCACTCGGCGAGTAACGGCTGAAACATGACGTCACTGCCATCAGGGAACATGCAGGCAGCCCGCGACACCGTGGCACCCACCGATAGCCAGGATTGCATTTTGCGCCGCGCATTTCGACACGTCGACTTCGAGCAGACCTTGCATGCTTAACGGCATCCACAACGACGCAGAAGGCCGACTCACACTGACACAACCCGACTCTGGCACCGAAAATTAGACACGGGCAACAATACAACACACGAACGGTTTTCCAAAAGGGCATGGTGACCGGCGCTAGCACCAGTCGCCAGCCAGTAACTCACCTGTCATCCTTGTGTGGAGCGCCGGACGAGAAACTGGCAGAGGCAGCCGGCGGTGCTGCGGCCGGCGGCGGCTCGGTGGGCAGCGACGGCGGCGGTCCGGTCGGCAGCAGCGGCGGTGGCAGCGTGGCCATGAGCGGCGGCGGCGGCTGCTGCACCGTGCGCGGCGGCAGTGGCGCCATCAGGGAGGGGATGGGCGGAGGCCGAGCCGGCAGCGGCGGCGGCAGCTGGCCCAGCATCGCCGCCGGCGGCACCACCGGCGGCGGCTGTCTGAAGTTAGGCGGCGGCAGGCCGAGCAGCGGCGGCAGGCCCAGCGGCGGGCCCGGCGGCGGCACGTGCGGCGCCGCCGGAGCCGGAGCCGGAGTCGCAGCCGCAGCCGCAGCCGCAGCCGCAGCCGCAGCCGCAGTCGCAGCCGGAGCAGGAGCCGGTGGCGGCGGCGACGACGGCAGCGGTATGTCCTCGCCAGGCAGCGGAATGTCCATGGTCTGCAACAGTAGCTGCCATCAGCTAATGGAACAATGAGCCTCATGTTGCATGGTCAACAGAGGAAAGATATTCAAAATCCATTCATGGTCCTACCTAGCCTGTGCCATAAAATTGCTTACACTATAAGCATGAATATTATTGTAGGTCAAAAATCATCACAAATAGCCCAATGTAGTATTGATCTATACATGCAGTAGAAACGAAAAGACATCACTCCAAAAGTTAAGGACTATTCCAGATTGGTATGGCTTGAGTCCCCGGACATGGCAAAGACATCTTCTAACTCCATATGTCATCCACACTATGCTATCCAGTAATAAAATCACTGTAAATAATTATGACAAATCATTTAAATTTTCTGCAAATAAGAACATTAACTGTCCCACATCATAGAACCAATGAGCATATGGAGCATACTGACTCATTTCCATAAGGCAGTAGTCAACACTGTGCCATTATATGACAAACATACACAGTGACATAAGACTATTAGCACTATAATATATTTATATTATTGTAGACAGCATATATATATGGTAAACAAATCTTCATACATTGATGTCACATACACAACTTCAAGTGTGCCAAATCCCACACAATCTATATTAAATGTTAATACTATCTAATACCATCAGCAGATACAGCATGATCTCTAAAAAATAATGCATGATCACAAGCCTGGAACTACTGATCTATAACCATTGATCAACTACTATAACTGATAAATAATGCCTATAACATAGGCATCCAAAAAGCTTCTGATACTGCATTTCATGCTTGATCATTACTGCAACAAGCAATCTCAATCTTTCAACCTTTTAGTATGCTGCAAGTAATTTCCCATGCAGTTTTCTGGGCACAGGAAATGGCCTCTGCAAAATGTTCTGCTTTTTACTTTAGAGGAAGTTCCAAAAGAAGCATAAGAAAACATTCAGCCATTTTCCATCAACATGAGTTTTGTACCACACCATTATTCACTGGTGTACATGTGCTATTGCCATGTTCTTTCCACTCATAGAGTCAAAACTTTGCCTGCAGACAATAATTTATTGTCACCAATGCATAGGATTTCAACATTTGTTAACCAGACTGACAAACATTTCCCAAGTTTTGGGATGGTACTTTCAAGCACTATATGCAGCTCGTGAAGGAAACTATGATCTCTGCAGGTATGACATTTCACATCCCTGATTTACCAGTCTGCAAGGAAATTGCCAAAAATGGGCCAGTCCAGCAGATTTTGACAAAATCTTGTGAGACCATGGGCAGGGCACAACCTCCAATAAGCAACAGGTTATCAAAATTGTGTAGCAGAAGTTACTGAATTTGAATAATAAAGATATAAATCATGTTTTACAATATACAGAACAAAAAGTACCACAGAGAATTATCACATGTTGTGGTACATCAGGCTTATGGGAGTAGGCAAGTTGAACAAAAGCTGTCCCAATAGGGCAGCTTACATTCCTAATGAAGACAGAGTTTTACCTGCTCCTTACATATCACAAGCATGTTTGCTATGGTTTGTAGACTGGAAAATGCACCAACATAACCAAATTCACAACAGCCACACCTACACATCATAACTATGCCCAATATTGCTATTAAATCAAAGAACAGGAGCCCATTAAAGGGTGTTCACCATATTTGCATGGATGTTTTAAACTGAAACAGCAGCCCTGGAGACTTGTGCAGTTCATAGCCCTACCCTCCTATGACTTAAACCCCCTCTAGTTTCTGAGCTACACACCCACCAAGACATGCAAATTATTTCAAGGAGACTTGTTTCAAGGTTAACAAAGTACCATGATGCCATAATAATGTCAATCAAATCCTGTCATGCCAATAATCATGCAGCAATCCAGGCCAGAAAAGGTGATTACTGAGTTGATCGCACGACATTTGTGAGCAAAATTTTCCAATATGATGACTGTCAATTGGCTCTCAATGTTGTGCAAGGCTTGATGATGTTATCAATGTGATGAGGAGCATATTTACAAAGCAGAGAAATTATGTTGTCTAGAGAAGTCTCCATCACTTTAAAGCAAACCAACATTATCAGTGAGCTTATTTCATTATATCTGATGCTCGCATCTGCATCTTCAGATGTGGAACATCCCCTAAGAGCATGGCTTGGTGTCGAGATTGCACTTAATGCATAACAAATAACAGCGCCATTTCTGAGGATTCATCTACACATGCATTGTCTCACTCTATATCTACAAGCTATTCACCATCCTCCATTTACCTCTTCTTTTCAAAGGACAACGGTCCTTTCGGAACAGACTTGACTCAAAGGGGCAAGTCTGCATGCACTCAACACGGCTTCCTCGTAAACGAACGCGCATACATACTTAACTGAAATCCGAATAAATCACGACACCATCCCCCGACGCGCGCAGCCGGGGAACGCATACGCGGCGTTGCGGCAAACCCCACGCATCATGGCCGCGCTTTCAGCATGGATGGAGGACTAAAGTGCTGCTGGAAACCTGGCGCGTCCGGAGATAATGTCATGTCTCAAACGTAATACATCTCTCGTTCCCAAAAACATGTCACTTTTGATGCAAAATGCATAGCAAGACTTTTGTTACCAAAGGGCTACACCATCAGCATTCTAGGTGATTACACGAACACAAAAAACAGATAATTTAATGCCCCGACACTCAGTTTTAAATCTCATTCTTACTTGAATGAGGACAAAACCAGCGTTGCAAAAGTTTCTTTTCAAGAAGCACATATGTCGACCAATGGGAATAATGCTACTGTTGTGCCCTGTTCTCTATCGCTACGCTACTATATATAAACCTATCGTAACGTGGATACCAATATCACCTACACATCTTCAAAATTTCCTTACTGGAATTGGACACATAGCCGCCCATAATTTTCCTTAGGGGGGTGGAGGTAAGCGTCCCGTTTCGGAACAGTCAGTTTCGGATTTTTCGATATCCTTGCAAACTGGGACCAAGTTTGCACGATACCGTCCCGTAGCTAATGTAAACCTCTATCAGAGAGGGAGAGGGGACGCACGGTTCTGTTTTCCCTTCCAGTGGCCGCGTCAAACACTGCAAAGCCTCTTGTCTACCCTCCACTTGGCTGACTGGGAGCTAAATATGCATCCTTAAAACAGTGTAGGGGAAAAGATTCTGGCAGAACGGACCCTACCTGCATGGTTTGATGAAGTGTGGCGTAAGTTTACACGCCTATATCAAAAACAAAAACAAAAACGACTATTCGGTATGCCCGATTATTCACACAGGAGTTCGTCCATGGTTTACATAACCGTTGAAGAGTTGGTACCAATACCAAAAAAGGGTACCTAGCTGTGTTCCATATTTGCATGAGATTTTGAACTGAAACGGCCATCTCGAAGGTCATTGCGTGCAGTTCAGTCCCGTCCCTCTTAAGACCTAAGCCCCTTTAACTTCTGGGTTACACGCCCGCGATGTGCAAGCTATTTTACAGACAACCAGGCATCGCTGACGCCATAACGGCGTCATTTCAATCCTGCCACACCATTGGACGGGCAGAAATCGAGGCCAATGTAAACAAAATTATCGAGTCGTTTAAATTTGACGTTCGTGATCACAATTTCCAGATATCATGGCCGTCAATTCGCTCTCAATCATTGTGCAAGGTGCGATGACGTAAACACACAATGACACTTTGAGGAGCATATTTTCTGAATAAAGAAATCGTGTTGTCTTGAGCAGTTTTGAACATTAAGTATGCACTAGTTATAAGTGAGCTTACTTAATCGTATCTGATGCTTGCTTCAGTATCTTCAAATGAGGAACATTCTCTTTAATTTATATGGCTGCAGCCGCAGGCCAAGCGCCAGAACACTTACCTTTCATGCCTGCCTGGAGTTTGTTTGGGATAACGGTGGTATTTCGGAGTGCATCTTCAGCTCCTTCTTGGAGGAGGTCATCAGGTCTTTATACTTGACGGGCCCCTTTAGTTTAAGGGAGTATCCAACCATTTTTGTACTTTTCACCAACTGTTACCTCAAACGCGTACGATTTGATCAGTAATACCGGTTTTCTAGAAACACTTCTAAATAGCTAAAAATGCATTTTTGGAGTAGCCGATTCTGCGGGAGAAATGTCACTCCTGTGACATTTCTGCGACACTCCTGTGTGTGCTGTGTAATGTTTGCAACACATTAATTGATTCAAAACGTCTGTGTAAAAAATGGTGCAAAGGCTTG